TTATCACAACAACCCTGTGAGGTAGGCCAGGTTGAGAGGCAGTGACTGGCCCAGTGAGCTTTATAGCTTTGTGGGGATTTCAACCCTGGCCTCTCATGCTTATGCAGGGCTGCTGCTAAGGATATGCAAACCTTTCTGTATTATTTCTCTCAGGTTTTTGTTTTTCCTGTCCAAAGTTCAGTTCTCTGCACCTCCGCATCAGTTTCTGGTTTCATTAAAAAACCAAGAATATGCACCAGCATTTTAGTTTTTGCAGATCAATTTTCTGTACTGTAATGCATTTCCGTATGTTGTTTTCACTAATATGTGCATTTTTATGCAAAATTTACCAATGGCCTGTTGTGTCCAGCATCCTATTCTCGCAGTGAACAAACATGCCTGTGGGAAACCCACAAGCAGGATTTGAATTCAAGAGCCCTTTACCTTCCTGCGATTTCTAGCAACCAATATTCAGAATCATTGTGTCCTCTGATCTTGGAGTCAGAGCATAGCCGTCATGGCTGATAGCCATATTGATAGCCTTCTCCTCCAATAACTTGTCCAGTCCTCTTTTAAAGCTGTCGAGGTTTCCTGAAGAAGCAAGTTCCACAGTTTAACTATGCGCTGTGTGAAGAAGGCCTTTCTTTTGTCTGGCTTGAACTTTCCAACATTCGCCTTCATGGGATGTCCATAAGCTCTGGTGTTATGAAAGAGGGAGGGGGGAAAAACTTTTTCTCTACCACTTTTTCCATAAACCTTCACCAGGAAGGCTCTTACTCACTTTTTCTCTGAACTTAAAAGTCCCAAACTCTGCAATCTTTCCCCATAGAGAAGTTGCTCCATCATTTGGCTGGCCCTTTTCTGAACCTTTTCCAACTCCTTTTTGAGGTGAGGTGACCAGAACAGTACACAGCACTCCAAAAACGTAGTGGATTTGTATAACCGCATTCTGAGTCTGGAAGCCTTCATTTCAGTTCCATTCCCAATTATCCCTAGCATGGGAATTTGCCTTTTCCACGGCTGGTCCGACATCTTCAATGACCCACCAACTATGAACCCAAGATCTCCTTTCCTGGTCATTAGGAGCTAGGAGGCTTCATCTCCTGTGCAACTGGGGTTCTGAACCAGTGGTGTAGCATAGAGGGGTGGGGAGCAGAGGGGCTGTTGCCCCGGGTTCAGAATTTCAAAAGTAAAACCGCTTTGAGTTTTTTTTAAAACAACAACAACAATAAGCAAGTGGTGTAAAAAAGCCATGAAATACAGTGGTACCTCGGGTTACATACGCTTCAGGTTACACACTCCACTAACCCAGAAATAGTGCTTCAGGTTAAGAACTTTGCTTCAGGATAAGTACAGAAATCGGGCTCCGGCGGCGCGGTGGCAGCAGGAGGCCCCATTAGCTAAAGTGGTGCTTCAGGTTAAGAACAGTTTCAGGTTAAGAACAGACCTCCGGAACGAATTAAGTACTTAACCCGAGGTACCACTGTAAATATAGGGACGCGGGTGGCGCTGTGGGTAAAAGCCTCAGCGCCTAGGGCTTGCCGATCAAAAGGTCGGCGGTTCGAATCCTCGCGGCGGGGTGCGCTCCCACTGCTCGGTCCCAGCGCCTGCCAACCTAGCAGTTCGAAAGTAGATAAATAGGGACCGCTTACTGGCGGGAAGGTAAACGGCGTTTCCGTGTGCTGCGCTGGCTCGCCAGATGCAGCTTTGTCACGCTGGCCACGTGACCCGGAAGTGTCTCCGGACAGCGCTGGCCCTCGGCCTCTTGAGTGAGATGGGCGCACAACCCCAGAGTCTGTCAAGACTGGCCCGTACGGGCAGGGGTACCTTTACCTTTTACCACTGTAAATAATAATGATAAAATATATGGCCGCTGTCACTGTCCCCTGCCCAGCTTCCCTCTCCCTGCTGGGAAGACCCCTCCCCACTAACATTGCCGCTGCCCTGCCATGGCAGGAACCATGGGTTGAGGGTGCAATATTTACCTTGCCCCGGGCACTGGCAACCCATGCTACGCCACCCTCAAGACACAGGATGGTGAAAGCAGCAATGCTTCCGAATGCCAGTTGCTGGAATCCACAGGAGGGACGAAAGTGCTTTTAGTGTTCAGGTCCTGCTTGCGGATTTCCCATTGAGCCATCTGGCTGGCCACTGTGAGGCTAGATGGACCATTGGCCTGATCCAGTTGGTTCTCCTTAGGATCTTCGTTCTTAATCTTGGTGCCCTGGGCTGCCGGCTTTGTTCTCTCCCCTGCCTCGCATCCCCCTAACCATGCAGAGAGGCTCTTCTGTGCCTTTGCAGCAGCTCTGACCATATAAGGCCTCGCCTTCATTGCTGGCCTGCTTCTCCCGCTCTGCCTCCCTCCCCAGCCTGGACAGGGGCTCCTGGGGAACGTCTGCAACTTGATTGCACCAGCTACGTCGATGTGCACTCACAATGCTTGACTGCGAGGCGACATCCGCCTGCGATTTTAAAATTTCCAGCTGTCGCTATCGAAATACTCTGTGTCAGGGGCTTTGAAACCTCCAGCTCTGATGGCCACAGAGAAATGTCTCTGCGCAACTCCCGTTTCACCTGTGCAGACAAATGCATTCCTTCTATTTTTTTATTTTTCATTCTCTTCTGGCCACCACCTTTTTTCCAGAATTGGAAATGGGTCTATTTCCCTAAGATATACATTTCCCCTAATATAATGCTTTTTAGTTTTGGTGGAGTTTTTTTGGGGGGGCAGGTTCACTTTCAAATGCAATTTACACACATTTGCAGAAATTACTTAGCAGGAGAACTGCATGCCAAAATATGGAGAAATGTGGACATACAGTGGTACCTCGGGTTACATACGCTTTAGGTTACAGACTCCGCTAACCCAGAAATAGTGCTTCAGGTCAAGAACTTTGCTTCAGGATAAGAACAGAAATTGTGCTCTGGCGGCACAGCGGCAGCAGGAGACCCATTAGCTAAAGTGGCGCTTCAGGTTAAGAACAGTTTCAGGTTAAGAACAGACCTGTCGGCCAATTGGTGCCAAAGAGGGATAGAACTTTCTTTATGTACGCTACAACAGCAGCAAGAATACTTATCGCAAAGTATTGGAAGACACAAGATTTACCCACTCTGGAAGAATGGCAGATGAAAGTGATGGACTATATGTCATTGGCTGAGATGACAGGCAGAATACGCGACCAAGGAAAAGAGACGGCGGAAGAAGAATGGAGAAAATTTAAAAGTTATCTTAAGGACTATTATAAACTTGATGAATGTTAGAATGTTATGGTTTTCAGAAACAAAGGGATACAGTGATATAAGGTCAGATTATAGAGATAACTAAGGACAGAGGTTGGAAAGTAATATTGGGAGTTGCTATAAAACTATGGACATTGGGATGCAGAAAGGGGGGGGGGTATGGGGGAGTCTGAGAAAAGAGGGTTATGAGAAACACCAGACTCCGGAACAAATTAAGTACTTAATCCGAGGTACCACTGTATTGTTGACATATTGTTCCGGAAAGTGCAAATCTGGTAGATTTGCCTTTTAAGTACAAACCGAATCAAAAACTTTCCCTTCCCTCACACCAATATATTGTTATAGATTGGGGGTGGGGGCTAAACCCTAGAAATTAATAAATGGTCAGATTTTGATTATTTGGAGTACTGTAGGGGAAATTGCAGGCTAGTGGGGGGAAACGGGCTAAGCTTCTTTTCCAAGCCTGGGTCACACCTGGGATGGCGACATGAACACAACAAAAGGTGTCGATGCCCCATGTAAGAGGAATTCTTGGGCCTGGCCAGACAGAAGGTTACCAGGGTAACTGGGGGTGAAGAGACAGGAAAAGAGAGTCTTTAGCAAGGTGTGCTGGGAAGAAGAGGGCAAAGAACAATGAAATATACTCAGAGTCCTGTAGTGATTTCATGCTCTTTGTTGCAGCTTGTAAAACAGTGATTGAATTGCCCCCTAAACCTCATGCTTTTATAGACATTATTTACACAATGAGTCCCGTCTGATTGGCTGACTGCTTCGCTCCTGGAGCCTGATTGGTCTTTTCCTGCAAGCCAATCAGTTGTTGCATTCTAGGATCCTACCTGCCTATTGTTCTAGGATCCAAGCTTAGTACATAACAAAGAAAGACTGAGATCCATCTTGGGCAGGATTGTGGAAGCCAACTGCAGCCCCTTGCTAGCCACAGCTGGCCAATTCTGGCTGGCCTTAAACCCTTCCTTGCCCCCTTTCTGCTGATCTTATATGTAGCTGGTGAGCTCCATTCAGCCTGGTGGGTTTCAGGTTCATTTCCCACATTATGGTTTCCTTACATGGAAAGAATTCTCTGAGCATGGAAAAGGGTTTGAGCCGCTGGTGGACAGTAAACGCACTGAGTTGTAGAGAGTGGGCCTGCTCCCTGGAGGGGTTGCCTAGCAACTGTGCAACCCAGCTGGGGATGACCAGTACTTATGAATGGGGTTGGTCACTGATGCATTACCCAAGAGGAGGAGAAGGAGAAGGAGGAGGAGGAGGAGGAGGAGGAAGAGGAGGAGGAGGAGGAGGAGGAGAAGAAGAAGAAGAAGAAGAAGAAGAAGAAGAAGAAGAAGAAGAAGAAGAAGAAGAAGAAGAAGAAGAACAACAACAACAACAACAACAACAACAACAACAACAACAAATTTTATTATTTATACCCCACCCACCTGGCTTACTTTCCCCAGCCACTCTGGGTGGGTTACAGCACATTAAAAAGTGTAAGGCATTAGACATTAAAAAATTCCCAATAGAGGGTTGCATTCAGATGTCTGCTGAAAAGGACTAAACTGTGGGGTGCTGATGTGCATCAAATCTGTATGCTTGGTTTTGCATGCTTTGAAACATTTACCGTACTTGTTAATGATATTTATTTTTGTATGTCCATTGCATCTGTCTGTCTGTTTTGAAGGCCTTGATTCTTAGTCCACATGGATGCCCGTTAATCGGCCGACTCCCAACATGACCCCAAACACAAAAACAAGACGATTCAAAATAAATAAATCAAAAACCATACATGGGGTTTTAAAAAAAACACAACTTTATTTGTGGCGCTGTTGCAGAGGTCTCTGTCTTTACAAAAAAAAAAAAAAAAGGGATATGGGAGGGTTTGCCCGTTTTCGACACTCGAGTGGTAAACTCCCACCCGGCATTTACACCTTGGGAGCCTCTTCCGGTTTCTTGGCTCCTGACGGGGTGATTTGGGCATGCGCCTCGAAGGTGACAGGAATCTGGATTTCGGCAGACTGAATGGCCGGCTTGGGCAAAGGAGCCTCTATCGTCAACATGCCATCGGGGGAAAGGGAGGAGCGGACTGCAGCAGGGTCGATACCAGGGGGCAGCCTGTAGAAGGGAACAGAGAAGCGTGAGAGTGGAATGAGGCGAGGTGCCCAAAGCAGTACATTGTTATGGGTTCGAGGGGGTCAGTCTGGATGATATCAGGGGGTCTCTTCCAGGCCTGTGGTCCTGTGCCCAATGAGGAATAGAATCCAGCAGAAGAGGCTGCTGAGCTGGTCGGACAAATTCCTTTGCAAGGTAATGAGAGACAAATGGCAGAAAGGCTTGGAAAAAATCAAGATTGAGACTGGTGGGGCAGCAGACCCTGAAAAGCTTCGCTTCTTTCCCCAGCCAACTGGTTCAGCTACTTACGTGTATTTTCTTGTGAAACATCTGGAGATGAACCCATGATCGTCCTGCCTTTCTTCATGCTTGCCTGAAAAAGAAAACGACACTGTCATGGGGACATCGATACTGCCTTAAGAGATGGGGAAATCCCCCAATACATTCATTTAACTCTTCCCCAGGCACCCAAGCAGCTCTCTCTAACCTGCATTCTGAAGCATAGGATCGTGGAATTGTAGAGTTGGAAGGGACCCCTACTCTAATCATGTCTCTCTCTCAGGTCTGGCCCAAGATATTTTGCCGCCTGAGGCAGATGAGAAAATGCATCCCACCCACCCCCATTCCCGCCATTATCTCACCCCTGCAGGGTTTTAAGCCACATGCACCGTCGCCAAAGCAGAATCCAAGAGGCAGGGATGGGCAGGGCGTGAGGGAGCAGCAGGGCCAGTGCCCAGCCACCGGCAAGGTGCAGCAGCAGCCGCCACCTGGCTTCCTCCATGTCAGAAACACTGGGCAAGAATGCCATGCGGAGAGGGAAGGGAAGCCTGTGGTATCTGCATGCACGCTTACTTAAGGATGGGTTATTATTATTAATATATTATTATTATTACTATTACCGGTATATTCTATACTGCCCTTCATCCAAAGATTTGCAATGCGCAATTTGCAAAGTGAAAACACAAGAATACATACCATAATAACAAGCAAAAACACTAACACACACAGACAGTCCAAAAGGCCACAGATTGTAAAGGCCTATGTCAGTTTCAGGTTCTCATTTTTCCAATCTTAAATTAGTATTATTTTTTAAAAAACCTCCTCATGGAAATTCATCAGCATTTTAATGTGAATTTCTCTTAATATGCATAAATCTATAGAATTTTCTCTCCTTTGCCCCGTATGAGGGAAGAACCCTGGAGTTGGTATTTGGAATATTTCTTGGCTGTTACAAATTATTTAATAACCAAGTTCCTCCTCTTTCCTCAAAGGCCTTGCAAGATGGTACTCTCATTTTAACTGCTATTTATATCTCAGGTTTTCTCCTTGTAGCACATTCTGTTTCAAATATGTGTGTGTCTTACTCTGTGCATCATATGGTATTAAAAATACATGAATGCTGCATTGAGTGTTGTTATTTTTCACTCTCTCTTCTATCTTAATGGGTTTGTTCCAGCATAATAAGTGATTTATTGGTGAAACTTTCTCTAATATACATATTCCTGCAAAGTAATCTTCCCTAACAGAATGCTGTTCGCTATGGTTCCCACCCACCCACTGAATATATGCATTTTTAGGTATGTTTAGCCCAAGTACAGTATATGCATTTCTTTACCCTAGTAACACCCACTCTTCCAAAATCATACGCATTTCTGCAAACATAACTTGGCTGCAGAACTGCGCTGAAATATCCGGAGACGTTCAGATTTGCAAAGGTGGCCTGATATGGTTTGTGGATTGCTTCAAAAAGTGTGTATTACCTCTGTAGGCCTTTAAATATGACCTGAACCAAATTCTGCCTCTCATCCCTGCTACTGAATGGGTGAAGTTTCAGACTTGGCATAAACCAGCTTCCCTTTTGTTAAAAAAGATGGGGGAGCATATGTTTAAAAAGAATAGATATTTAATGCTTAACGTGGATGAATTGGATAGAGCGTGGTGCTGATAATGCCAAGGTTGCAGGTTTGATCTCTGGATGGGACAGCTGCATATTCCTGCATCGCTGGGGGAGTTGGTGTAGATGATCCTCAGGGATCATTTACAGTTCTATGATTCTATGAATATCTGTAGGGAAATCACTGGTCACCCTGAGCATCAGCATGCCTCTTGTCCTTCGGTCGGTGCCAGAAGGGAGGGAGCCTTCTAGGCATGAACAGCTGTAACTTTGAGCTTGCTTCCCTCCTCCTCCCCCCTCCTCCCTTTTCCTCGTGTGCTGTGTCTTTTTTAAAACGGTCAGCCTAGCAGGGGATGTTTCAGTGCTGATTTTCACAAGCCACTCTGAGGACCCTGGGCCTGGTATAAAGCTGTGCAGAAACCACCTAACCAAGCAACCAACCTTCACTGCTGCCGTATTTTTCGAGAATTGACTGCAACACCAAACCGTTCGCTCTTCCTTGTGTTCCTGCCTCCCCACCCTTGCCTGCTGCTGTGCTGGTTGCCATGGCCACATGTTAAGCCATGGACCGCATACATCCATTAATATTTCAGAGGGCGACGAACTGAGATTTGGGTGGGGGGCTGGGACCCCACAAGGATGGGTGCCGGCTGCGGTATCAACAGAGCATGAGAAGTGGGGTGGGGGCTTAGCTGTCAACTTTTCCCTTTTTAAAAAGGGAAATTAATTAATTAATAGTTAATTTGGGGAGAATGATCGTTTTAGTAATAGCCGAAATGTCCAATATAGTATAATTCTCTCATTTCCACCTATTTATTAATGTTTTGCTAAATAGGTTTATTGTTGTCTCAAAATAAACTGTTCATATTTCTGAATATTAAAAAAGAAAGAAAGAAAAAGAAAGGGTGTCTCTGGGGTGGGGTGGGGGGGAGGCTGTGATTCCAGGCTTCCTCTCCGCTCCTCCTCTGCCCACGATTCGCTAAGGCCCAAACTTGGCACCTGATCAATCTCATTGATTTTAATCAGGGGTGTAATGTGGCAGCTGCAACCCAGCTGGCTGGGGGGGGGGGGAGAGAAGGGGGGGAGGGACCTCCCAAGCTCTGTGCTCCTTTGTCTGCCTTCTTGGGCCACACCCATCTTTGTTCTTTCCGGCTCCTCTGATTGGAGGAGCCTCACCGAGGGGAAAAGTGGGGAGATCCGACTCAGAGCACTCATCGCCCTGATGCGCCTCAAAAAAACAAAAGCATTTGCCACAATAAACCCAATGGCTTTTAAGGTGTCACAAGACCAGTCCTTCTTTCCCTCCCTCCCAGTTTTCTGTAACTGACTAATGTGGCTTTATCTCATTAGCTTTTTCCCTCCACCGTTGGGCTGAAAAAGAGGCGGGGGCGGGGAATGATCTCCCCACCCCAACAGGGAAAGAAAAAGAAAACTAGCATATTAGTAGTAGTACTTAATATCTCAGTTGGTAGAGCATGAGGCTCTTGATCTCAGGCTTGTGGGTTCGAGTCCCACCTTGGGTAAAAGATTCCTGCATTGCAGGGGGCTGGACTAGATGACTCTCCTAGTCCCTTCCAACTCTACAGTTCTATGATTCTACAATTCTAATTACCCATCCTTCACCAGCAGGTCTCTGGACACACTACGACGATTTAGAATTCAGAATTACAAACAGTTAGGACAGATGGCACTTGTAGGAAGAGGGTTAAAGGTAAAGGGACCCCTGTCCATTAAGTCCAGTCATGGCCGACTCTGGGGTTGCGGCAGTCATCTCGCTTTACTGACCGAGGGACCGAGTACAGCTTCCGGGTCATGTGGCCAGCATGACTAAGCCGCTTCTGGCGAACCAGAGCAGCGCACAGAAACGCCGTTTACCTTCCCGCTGAAGCACTACCTATTTATCTACTTGCACTTTGACGTGTTTTCAAACTGCTAGGTTGGCAGGAGCAGGGACCGAGCAACGGGAGCTCACCCCGTCGCGGGGATTCGAACCGCCGACCTTCTGATCGGCAAGTCCTGGTCTCTGTGGTTTAATCCACAGCACCACCCTCGTCCCTAGGAAGAGGGTTAGGGTCCTGCAAAACATGAATTTCCAGTGCCATAGGAACATAGTGATCTGACTTCTCCCAAGTCAGACCATTGGTTCATCTTAGTACAGTGGTTCTCAAAAACCAAGGCGTGGGTTCTGATTGCTTGCAGGAGCTTCCTGCACTTGAGCAGAAGCCGCGTCAGATCAGATGTTCGGCTTCCGAAAACCATTCGCAAACTGGAATACTTATTCCTGGGTTTGCGGCGTTTGGGAGCCAATTTGTTCAACAACTAAGCCATTCATGAACCAAGGTATCATTGTAGTGTACCTGCACTGACTGGCAGCAGCTGTGTACATGGCTTCCTTAATAAGCGTTTTATTATTAAATACCCCCTTGCCCACCTGGAGATTCAAGCCCTCCACCTGCCACCTGAGTAGAGTTGAGACAAAAGGCAGGAAGAACCAGCTGCACAAACAGAAGATAGGGGACACCTGGCTTGGCAACAGTACAGGCGAAAAGGATCTAGGGGTCTTAGTGGACCACAATCCGATCATGAGCCAACCATGTGATGCAGCAGCAAAAGAAGCTAATGCTATTCCAGGCTGCATCCACAGAAGTGTAGTGTCCAGATCAAGGGAAGTCATAGTCCCACTCTATTCTGCCTTGGTCAGACCCCACCTGGATTACTATTCTTTAGCTGTGAATCCTGCTTTTTTTGCGGGGGGGTGTTAGATGACCTTTTGGATCCCTTCCAACTCTTCAGTTCTGTGGTTCTACGAGTGCCATGATCTAGTCTCCTAGAGGCTTGGGAAGATTCCACATTTTTCAGCATTGGAGTCTCAGCAGATTTTTGAGTTCCACATCACCTGCCCTTATTTCCGAAAGCAGGGAAGGTGCCTTATCTTATTTTCAGGCTGCTACAACTTTCTTTTGGTCCATTCATCACACACACACACACACACACACACACACACACACACACACACGATGCCTGGGCAGCTCCAATACATTTTGTCGCTGGAGGCAAAGGCATAATGGCCTTATCAGAGCTCAAGGACACAATCCAGCCAGGCAAAAATACTTCAGAGTGCAGAGAGCCAGTGTGGCCTAGTGGTCAGAGTGTCAGTCTAGCTAGGACCTGGGAGAGGCCAGGGCTGAAATCCACACCCCACCCCAGCCCTGAAGAAGCTTATTGGCCTAAGCTACCTCAAAGCGTCATTGTGGAATTAACTGAGACGAGGGAGAACCAAGTTTGCTACCTTGATCTCTTTGGAGAAAAATGCAGCAAATCTATTCATCCATTGAGCAAGTCAGCCATCAATCGATGGATTAATTATTGCATTAATAGACCACCTTTTCCTCCAAGGAGCTCCAGGCGACGTACAGGGTTCCTGCTGCCCCCCATTTAATACAAACAACCCCCCTGCGAGGTGAGATTGTGTGACTTGCCCCCAAGGTCACCTAGTGAGCTTCATGGCTGAGTGGGGATTCGAACCCAGGTCCTGGTCCAACACTCTAACCACTACACCACAGGAGGGACGGGAGGGTGTGTGCCCTGGGGAGAGTCCTCTGGAGCCCAACTGAGGGTTGCCTCCAGGCCTGAAGTCCCCCTCCCAGCCTCTCAAGGGATGGCACTTACCTGTGATCTCCACAACGCCGTCTTTCGTTTTCACCACCAGCTCCTCGGGTGCAAAATGGTTGACGTCCAAGGCCACTTTCCAGCTCTCGGAAGTCTGCCGGATCTCAGAGATGCCGCTGCTGAGCTGGCGGCTCAACGCCCTGCTGTATGCTGGGTTGGCAGCTGGGCTGGCAGCGGCGGCAGCGGCGGCTGGGCTGGCGGCCACTGGCTCTGGGCTAGTGCTGGCCAGAGGGCGGATGTAGCCCGGCCAGCTGGTGGTCCCCGCAGGCCACTTGTACCAGTCCTCAGGGATGAGGGGCATCCCAAAGGACTGGTCAAACAGGCGGCTGCCCCGGTACCAGTCCCGGAAGGGATCCCAGCTGGGGCTGCGCAGGAAAGTGAAGGGGACTTGGCGTTCTGTCATGGCGAGGCGTCCCGGAGTCGTCCCGAACCGCTTTGTGGAGCCTCTTGACTCCTGTGGAGAGCTGGAGCCGCCAGCTGCCCCTTATCAACAGACAAACGCCTATTTTGGGAGAGGAATTCCAGAGGTCTATTAATGGAAATTACTCTTGGCCAGAGGAACTGGTGATGAGTGTTGCCCAGGTCCTGACAGCATTTGTCATTTCGGCCCTGTGTGTTTTTCCAGGGAGGGGAGCGGTGGGATGGAGACCAATTCCCATCGGAGCTGAGCAGGATCCTGGCTTTCCAGGCCTGCGTTTGATCTCAGCAAACTGAGAATAAGCACAAGCCAGCCTGGGGAGGGAATGTGTTTGGAGAGTATTCACATCCCAAATGGCTCACGAGTCGCTGGCCTTCCCTCCTCTGCCTTACTTATAAGAGGTAGGAAAACCTGAGGGCTAAATCCAGCCTGCCAGGCCTCTCATAACCATAGAATTGTAGAGGTGGAAGGGACTCCAAAGGCCATCTAGTCTAGCCCCCTGCGTTGCAGGAATCTTTTGCCCAATGTGAGGCTTGAATCCATAGCCCTGAGATCAAGAGCCTCATGCTCTACCGACTGAGCTAAAAGGTAAAGGTAAAGGGACCCCTGACCATTAGGTCCAGTCATGACCAACTCTGGGGTTGCGCCGCTCACCTTGCTTTATTGGCCGAGGGAGCTGGTGTACAGCTTCCAGGTCATGTGGCCAGCATGACTAAGCCACTTCTGGCGAACCAGAGCAGCGCACGGAAACGCCGTTTACCTTCCCGCCAGAGCGGTACCTATTTATCTACTTGCACTGACATGCTTTCGAACTGCTAGGTTGGCAGGAGCAGGGACTGATCAACGGGAGCTCACCCCGTTGTGGGGATTTGAACCGCCGACCTTCTGATCGGCAACTCCTAGGCTCTGTGGTTTAACCCACAGCGCCACCCACGTCCCTTACCGACTGAGCTAGCAATAGCCTTTTCCTCCATGAATTTGTCTAATTCTCTTTTGAAGCCATCGCTGCCTCCTATGGGAGGGAGTTCCATAGTTTAACTGCACTGCATGAAAGGAGGGCTTTATTTTACCTGGCTTAAATCTTCCAACGTTCACCTTCATCTTCCAAAGTGGGTTCTTGCAACTCTCTACAAGCCACACTCCTCTGTGCAGGCCACACCCCTTAGTGGCTCTGGACCAGAGCACGCCAGGCACTTCTGTCTTCCACTGCCTCCCGCAGTTTAGTCAAACCTCAGGTTGCATAGATGTATCCACTAAACCATACATCCTAAAGACACCACAGTTTCCACTGTGCCACATTTCCAAAGGGAAACACATACTCTGGGGAAGTGCCTGGAAACCTTAGAATCTCTCACCGCTTGGAGATGGCTTGGAGATGGCAGGCAACAGAAGATATGTCATAGGAAGAGGCCTAAGAAGAAGTCAGATTATTGCTCCGTCTGGCTCAGGTTTGTTCACACAGTTCACACAGTTTAAAGAAGCCCTTTCTTTTATCTGTCCTGAATTTCCCAACATTCAGCTTCATCAGATCTCTACCAGTTGGAATGAATGGAGAGAGGGAGGAAAAAAACCCAACTCACATTCTCCATCATTTTGTACCTTCCCATCAAGGCCCCTCCACTCGCCTTCCAGGAATTGCAGACTCCAACTCCCATCATTCCCAGCCAGCCTGATGGATGGCAAGGGAAGATGGGAGTGCATTTGGGCACAGTGGTACCTTGGTTCGAAAACCAAGGCGCGGCTTCCGATTGGCTGCAGGAACTTCCTGCACTGAAGCAGAAGTCGTGTTGGACATTCGGCTTCTGAAAAACGTTCGCAAACCAGAACACTGACTTCCGGGTTTGCGGCATTTGGGAGCCAATTTGTTTGACAACTAAGCTGTTCAGGAACCAAGGTACCACTGTCGTGGGATGGCTGCGAGGCAGAATCAAGGCGGCTGGTGAGGAGAAGGTGACCGAGAGAAAGATCTTTCTCTTTCTCGCTGTCTCGGAGACGATGAGTCAGTGAGGGAAAGCAACTGCTTGAAGATTATGAAGAGCCCCCGCCGCTGCCCATCCTGAAGTCGTAGTCATCCTTGGCCGCAGGCCAGAATAACCCCTGGAGGTTCTGAGAGTCTCCAGAACATTTTTTGGCCTTGACACATGACACCCAAAAAAAGACTCGGAGAGAGAGCGGAGAAGCATTTCCTAAGCAGAGCTCATTTCCCCCCCTCTCTCATCCAGGCTGGCCGGAGGGAGGTCCACTTTGGCCACATCTGTGGCAGAGCAAGGCAAAGTGTGTGACTTCACTTGACTGACCACGGGGGTGGGGAATACTATAGGCTTGTATTGTTTCATTAGATTTTTAACAATGTGTTTCTCATTTTGTATTTCCTTGGTGTATAGAGCTTTGGAGAGAGCCAGTGTAGAGTTGTGAGTGCTGGCCTAGGATCTGGGAGGGACCAGCATTCAAATCCTCCCCTCCCGGCCGCCCCCAGTTTGTCTTGAAGCTGGCTGGGTGACTACTTGCTGCTAATTCACATTCAGCCCAACTGACCTCACAGGGTTGTCGTGAGGATAAAATGGGATGGAGAAGAAAGGTTTCGAAATGAGTAAATAAATAAGTGTGGTTGTGGTGGTTAGAAAGTCAACAGCAAGGCCTGAGAGGTCAAGGGTTGAGATCCCCACTCATCCTTCTCAGCCTAACCTACCTTAGAGGGCTGTTGTGGGGATTAAATGAGGAGCTGGAAAACTATGTCTGCCACCTTGAGCTTCTGGGATAAAAAATGGGGAATATGAGGCAATCAATCAATAAATCAATCAATCAAACAAACAAACAAACAAACAAACAAACAAAACAAACACAACTAATGCTTGATGTTTAGTTGTGGTTTTATACTATGTCAAATGGGTGGAATAATTACTACTACTACTACTACTCAGCATCTTGAGAAGTAGAGACGTCACCTTGCCAACAAAGGTCCGTATAGTTAAAGCCATGGTTTTCCCAGTAGTGATGTATGGAAGTGAGAGCTGGACCATCAAGAAGGCTGATCGCCGAAGAATTGATGCTTTTGAATTATGGTGCTGGAGAAGACTCTTGAGAGTCCCATGGACTGCAAGAAGGTCAAACACATCCATTCTTAAGGAAATCAGCCCTGAGTGCTCACTGGAAGGACAGATCGTGAAGCTGAGGCTCCAGTACTTTGGCCACCTCATGAGAAGAGAAGACTCCCTGGAGAAGACACTGATGCTGGGAAAGATGGAGGGCACAAGGAGAAGGGGACGACAGAGGACGAGATGGTTGGACAGTGTTCTCAAAGCTACCAGCATGAGTTTGACCAAACTGCGGGAGGCAGTGGAAAGCAGGAGTGCCTGGTGTGCTCTGGTCCATGGGGTCACAAAGAGTCGGACACGACTAAACGACTAAACAACAACAAACACTACTACTACTACTAATACTAATAATAATAATAATTTCCTTTTCTCTGCTCAAAGGCCTCCCAAGTTGTATTCTAGTTGCATTCATTCTAGTTGCAGTCTACATATTTTTTATCTCTTGTATTATATTGCATTTTAAATGTTTGCCTGTTTAATTCTTTGCAACACACTGTATTTTAAGTGTGTGTTTTAATGCTCACGTCTTATTCCTTGCATGCCCTGTTTTAGCAGGTCTGTGACCGTATAATACATAACAATAGCGGTGAAATATTAAGGGGAGGACATAGGCGCTCCTGCAACAGAAAGGGCGGCAAGGTCAAAAGCAAGACGAAGTGGCCTTGGCTGTGCGTTCCTTCCACCCGTGCTGGTTGCAGGATCCCAGGCTCGGTGTGGAGCCAAAGGCCGGGCTGAGCAGACAGCCGGGCAATAAATATCTCTCTTGTCTCAATTACTGGAGATTGACGGGCCCCATCTGCTGTGCTGCGTGCCCGGATCCCCCAGCTGCAAGGATAATGGAGCATGATGAGAAGGGCTGATTGCGCAGGGGAAGAGGGAGGGCGAAGCATCCAGAAGACTCCCTCCAGATTCCCATTCCTCCTTCCTCCTGGCCGGGCGTCCGACAGTCCAGGGAAAAGCTACCCTCCAGCTCCTCCTGCTGGCCAGACGCTTGTGCTACAATGGGGAAAGGGGAAATGGCAAAGGGAGCCCCCCAGGAATGTAAAAATACAATGTTATGGGGTTTTTTTGTGCAGTCTTGATGATGCCCTGTGCCCGTTCCAAGCCTGTGATCCTGTGGTAAGGAACCCGTTCCTTTGTTAAGGTAAGGGAATGGCTTTGGCTGGTTAGGCACCACAATTTACATATCCAATGAAGTTGCTCTGGTCTGTAGAACAAATGGATGGGCCTTTCACCTCACGCCCCTCGCCCAGCTGCTACGTAGGATAAAAACCGAGAGCCAGTGTGAGGAAGTGGTGAGAGTGTCAGACTACGACCTGGGATGGGAGAGACCTGGACGACTATGGGCTGCCTAACCTACCTTGCAGAGTTGTGGGGATTGCATGAGGGATTGCATGAGGAGGGAGAGACCTAGTGCTATTTTTATAGAAACAGAGGTGCCAGAACTCACCCCAAACGCCTCCCTTGTTCCTCTCCATCATCTGAGAGGTGCTGGAACTGAGTTCTGGTGGGTTCCAGTTGAAAACAAAACAAAACAAAACAAAAAGCCCTGGAGAGACCCATGTACAGTGGTACCTTGGGTTAAGTACCGTATTTTTTCCTCTATAAGACTCACTTTCCCCCTCCTAAAAAGTAAGGGGAAATGTGTGTGCGTCTTATGGAGCCAATGCAGACTGCGCAGCTATCCCAGAAGCCAGAACAGCAAGAGGGATTGCTGCTTTTGCTGCACAGCGATCCCTCTTGTTGTTCTGGCTTCTGAGATTCAGAATATTTTTTTTCTTGTTTTCCCCCTTCAAAAACTAGGTGCGTCTTATGGTCTGGTGTGTCTTATAGAGCAAAAAATACGGGACTTAATTCGTTCCGGAGGTCCGTTCTTAACCTGAAGACCACTTTAGCTAATGGGGCCTCCTGCTGCTGCCGCGCCGCCAGAGCACAATTTCTGTTCTCATCCTGAAGCAAAGTTCTTAACCTGAAGCACTATTTCTGGGTTAGCGGAGTCTGTAACCTGAAGTATATGTAACCTGAGGTACCACTGTACTCCGTCTTGATCTCCTCAGAGAAAAATATGGGATATAAATACAATCAATCAATCAATCAATCAATCAATCAATAATCAACAAACACACACACACACACGAGAGAGAGAGAGAGAGAGAGAGAGAGAGAGAGGGATAAGAAAAGAGGATTGGACAGATTTCCTGAGGCATAAGGCTCTCAATGGCTGTGTTGTCCCTCTACTGTTGGGAGACAGCCTCTGAAAACCTGCTGCTGGGAATCACAGGTGAGAAGAGTTGCTATTGCATTCAGATCCTGCGGGGGGGGGGGGGCGTTTCCAGTTGGCCACATGGGTGAGAACAGGATGCTGGACTAGGTAGGCCTTTGGCCTGATCCAGGCTCTTCTTGTATTCATTACAAATATTAGCTTACATTGTGATAGGGAGGTTACATAGACAACAGCTCCACCTCATTGTTCTACGACAAAGTGAAACCCCAAATATGTTTGCACATAGAGGTGTCTGCATAATCCGAAATGAATTGCGTCACCCTTAAGAACTGATAAAGAGAGTAGAGGTTTGTGGGCTCTTTTGCCTGCCCAGACCAGGGAAGCAGGATTCGCCTATGTAAGAGGATGAACCCTTTTCCAATCTTGTATTCCAGCATGCTTTTGTGATTTTTATTATCATGTCCTTACGTTGGTTTTTAAATTGCTTTGAGGCTTTTGTAGCGCAACATGGGAATATAATAACCCAAACCGAATCCTAATCTGACGCAGCTCTCTAGGGATGGGCAAATCTGAGAAAAGGGCAACATCTGGAAAGATGTACAATTGCAAACACATTGACGCAGCTTCAACTCCAGAGCCACGTCTTTTCAGCTCTGGCCTCTCTGCCACTGATACGTGGCCCTTGACAGATAACCTTGATGCACTTAAAAAATAAATAAATCTTGCCCACCCTCCAGCTGCACTGACTGACAATGACTCTTCCGGTTTTCAGGCAAGGGATATTCCCAGCCTGCCCTCCCTGGAGATGTCATTGGGGATTGAACCCATGACCTTTTGCATGCAAAGTCAGATGCTCTCCCACTCAGCTAGCCCCCCGCACCGCCATCAAAAAGAGGCTCTACTTCAGGAAGATTCCATTACAATATATATACAGTATTGTATATTTTATTATCATTGAACCAGCTCACTGAATCTACAGCTCAACTTCACAATTCAGAGAAAGAAGAAAGAGAGAAAGAGAGATTAATTTTTGTTTTCTTCTAGAGAATGGTTTGTTCTGGTTTGCTAACGGCTGCAGAGACTATGAAAGGATGCTAGGAAGACTGGACATGTTTTTCCCTGATAACGCCGTCTTTCTACACTCGTTGCTGCTTGGAACTGGAAGGGAACCCCAAAAGTATCTCAACACTGCAGTCCTTTGGGGACCTTCCTTTGGAGACTGATGCGCCACTAAACCGCCGTTTGCTGGCACTGAGTCATAGATCTGTAGAACTGGAAGGGACCACGGGGGTCATCTGGTCCAACCCCCTGCAATGCAGGAATCTTTTGCCCAATGTGGGGCTCAAACCCACGACCCTGAGAATAAGTCTCTTGCTCTACTGGCTGAGCTTCCCCAGCTGTCCATCGTCTTTGGAGAGCCCCACGGAACCAGTATTTGCTGTTGCTCAGTCGTCTTCGGAGAGCCCAGGCAGCACTCTGGCGGCGACTGTGTTTCAGGTGTGAACTAATAGGAGGAAGATACTTTGGCTCTGCCTGCTGCCAGTGTGAGCTTTCAGCGACTGGTAGGGATGTAAAAACACAATAACCAACAGCTGGATATAGGTTAGAGATTTCTTCTGCAATACCAGGGTCCAACAGTATAACCTTTGGGCTGACTAAATTAGAAGCCTAGTCTTCCCTCCTTCCTTGATCAATGTAGTAGGACCTATTGCCTAGATCTAGCCTACAGTTCACTCTGGCAGCTCTTGCTCCAAAGACCTCCAAGAGTTCTTGATTGTCATGTCCAATTGCCAGCTGCCTGGGACTGTGGAGCTGAAGGGAGGCATACTGTGGTCTCTGCCGCCAGCATGGGGAGTGAGGGGCCTGCACCTCCCAGGAAGAACCTCACGGGCAGGGGGAGGGCATCTTGGCCCCATCTCTCAGTTAGTAAGGAGCAGCTTGCTTTCCTCTTCCCTCCCCATCCCTTTTTCCTTTTGTGTTGTGTCCGTTTGGCTGCAAGACCACAGGCAGGAACTCTCTCAGCTTTTAATATATGACGGTGCTTAGAAAACATTAGGTGCTTTATAAGTGTTAAATAAAGATCATAATATCTGGATCCACAATCACAACTCAGCAACAGGCAGGTGTCATTTTGCTTCAAAAGCCTCCCAAATCCAAATTTGCCAAGTAAGTCACGGACTGTGGATCTCCATAGTTTAAACGTGTCACTGGAAGAACTGGGTGGATGCAATGTCAGATGTCCCTAAAAAGAATTGTCCTTCATTCCTCTCCCTCTTTCTCTTTCCCCCTCTCTCTGCCCCACCTGCAACATGGCCACACAGAGATCCAACGCACTGCTTCTTCTGAATCCAGTTTTTCACATATGGCCAACAAACCACAGAATTCAGGTCTGGAGGCTCAATCCAAGAATCGGGAGGGTGTCTACAGCATCTGAATTTGAATGGTGGGGCTTAAATAATATGTGGGTGGCACCTCTGCAGAACCAGGAGGTTTTCTTCCAAAGGTGTTGTGGCTTCTCTGTTTTGTTCATGCTACGCTCATTGGAGAATGATCTCCAATGTGCGATGCTCCTCCTTACCCAGTGCATTTTCTGCCCTTCTAGCACAGGCCATGTCAGGATGCTAGTCCTTTGTGAGTTTTACATCTTTACATCTGACATCTGATAGAAGGAGATTTGGACACTCAGACTGATTTTTGGAGGTTTCATGGGCTTGCGAAGGGGGATCTGATTCACAACCCACCTGTTTTGCCCCCCCCTCTTTCTCCCTTGGTTTGAGGCAAAGGTCTGATTGGGTGGTGTCCCTGAACTTGCTCTATTTATTTTCCCCCACCTCATATATGCAAGGGAAACTGATCCGGTTGTGCTATCTGGTTATACAGAAAGGGTGCTAAGTGACTTGACCCTCGCCTGGCTGACCTTTGCTCTCTTGCAGAAAGCAAAATACCCCTTTGTGCTAAGATACATCAGAGGTCATCCTGCAAAGCTGGGGGCTGGAAGCACCTGGCTCTCTCTGCAAGCTTCCATACAGCCTTGGACACATAGATGTATGTTTATATGAAAGTGCTGCCTTAGACCAAGTCAGGCTGATGGTCCGCCCAACTTGGCAAACCAGCCTACAGCATTTGAGCCCCATCAGGTGTCCCTATTGTCTTATCGACTGCTTGTCCATCAAGCCCAGAAGCATCAAAGTTGAACAACAGCTGCTCTCCAGGGTCTCACGCAGAGATGGGGCTTTGCTATCACCTGCCGTGGAGCCAGATGGACATGTTGCCAGGCAGGGGTTGATTCTGGGGCCTTCCCTAGGTCATTGCATCCATCAGGAAGTGCTCTCTCTGTGTGTGTCTTCATTGGTGGCAAATGCTGTTTGTACCTGCAAACTTCTAAACACCAATCCTGTGCGCTGGGTTCTAGCATTGAGCTGAGGTCCTTTCCTGGGACGCAGATTAGTTCTGCTTTGAAGTAGTCAATCCAGTAGTCATCTTTGTAACTTTTTGGAAGTGATCAGCTTCTATCTTCCTTCCTTCCTTCCTTCCTTCCTTCCTTCCTTCTCCGTCCATTTCCTGGGTTTTACACAACCCTCCAAACTCCCAAGTAAGCTTTCTTTTGGAATTTCTCCCTCTGGAAATTAACAGAGTTGTGCTCCCATGCCACCCGCCCCTCTCCTTTCTGCCTCCTAAAATAAATTAAACATTAACCTCTCCAGGCTGCTGGAGTCGAAATAAATAAACACTACAAATAAATTAGGGGTTGGGGTGGGGTGGACAACAACAACATCCCTCAAACTCCCCTCGAGGAAGAATCTTCTGTGAGCTGTTTGTTCGAGGCTGGGTGCGATCAAATAGCGAGGACTCCTATGTTCTAGAGCCCAAAGTTCAGTGGTGGGTTTTGGTGTTTGTTCATATGCTCTGTGCATGATCCTGAACCCTGGAGGCGTTATTCCCCGGGAGACCCTCCCTACCCTTTGTCAGTAGAAACTAGCTTTTTTAAAAAAAACAAAAACAAAGCAAAACGGAGTCCACCATCAGGCCTCTTGTCCATGTGAGCAGCCAGACGATTGTGGTCCTTGCCCACAAAACCTCAATCCTTTTGCAACCCCGAACTTCCAGCGAGTGTCTGGCCTCCTCCGCCACGATGCTGCGTTCTAACAGGTGACTCGGCAGTTCTCTCCCCACCGACAAGATTTCCTGACTCCCCGGTTAATGGCTGGGCCAGCTCCCAGCTCCTCGCTGGCTGGACGCACCCAGCAACTCCAGAGTCACGAGGAAGGAAGAAGGAGCGGAGGCTGGCGCTGGTTGAGGAATTAAAACTGGGCATGCCTTGGAGGGGTGGGCGGGTGGGGAGGGCAGCTGGGCAGGGCCAGCTCACTCCGGCAACCGGGCAGCTGGCCCTCAAAACCCAGCGCTCTCAGAACTGCTCCGGCTGTTGTAGCTTGGGCTGCGGCTCTGGGTGCGAGTCCGGCTGCGGCTGCTGCTGTAGCTGTCGTAGCTGCGGCTGCGGCTGCGGCTGTAGGAATAGCTCGTCAGGGAGCTGGAAGAGGACGGGCTGGGCCGGTAGTAGGGGATCGGGCGCTTGCGGGCACTGGAAGAGAAGAAGGACATTTTTAGTGCCTTTAGGCAGAAGCAGAGAGGTCTGAACTGGATTTGATTAGGAAGAGGGCATTGGCTTCGGCACTGAGGGCCAAGAAACACCTATTTCCTTTTTTCTTTTAAATACAGAGCAGAGTGAAAACCAAGTTTGCAAGGAAGGATGAAGACGGAATCATAGAACGTCGAACATTGCTGGGATAGCTCAGTTGGTAGAGCGTGAGACTCTTAATCTCGGGGTCGTGGGTTCGAGCCCCGTGTTGGGTGAAAGATTCCTGCATTGCTGGGGGTTGGACTAGATGATCCTCGGGGTCCCTTCTAATGCTACAGATCTGTGATTCTAGAAATAGAGTTGGAAGGGGTCCTCATCTAGTCCAACCCAACCTAAATTCTACGCTTAAAGGACAGAAGGGCTGTATGCTCAATATCAGGAGCGGGGAAACATGTGGTGCTCCAGATGTGACTCCAGCTCCCATCAGCCCCAGCCAGCACAGACAATGGTCAAGGACGGTAGGCTTTGTAGTTCAGCAACATCTGGACATGACTCAACCAATCAGGGATCCCATACTAAATGCACTTTCAGAGGAGAGGTTTGCTGGACCACAACTCCCATCAGTCCCAGCCAGCAGAGCCGGTGGTCAGGAATGATGGAAGTTGGAGCCCAACAACATCTGGAGGGTCAGAGCCACGGTCAATTTCTTTGTACAAAGCATTTCCCACAAATAAGTAGTACATTATACTGGTTAGCTTAAGAATCTTGCTTTCCCCCTCTTCTGTCTCTGTCCTGCTTTCCTTTTGTGCTGTGTCTTTCAGATTATAAGCCTACAGGCACTGACTGTCTTGTTTTCATTAGTTGTATGTAATATGTTCAAGGAACCTTTTTGACTGAAGACCTGGGGCCAAACCCCCATAGCTAATCTGTTGCAGCTGAAATCTCAGCTTTTGGGCTTGCTTTTTTATTATTATTTAAATGAGCTCTGAGGAACACAGTCACTCCCAAACAAAATTCTTCCCAGCAGCCTCGCCTTCTTGCATAAGTTTGACATTTTCAGTTCAAAACAGAACATTCAAAAATTCAAAATTTTCAGTTCAATCTTGGTTTTCGCTCCACATGGACAGAAGGGAATGCTGTCAATTTGGAATCTTGCAAACATGACCCAAGTTCATGGGTAGAAGCTTGGGCAACCCAGCCAGATGGATGGAGTAAAAATATTAAACTTGTTGTTGCTGTTCTGCCTCACCCCAGGCACCTCCCTCCAAACCTGAAGCCCTCAGTGCCAAAGCTGTTGCCTCTCCAGTCGTTAGTCCTGGATTAGCCAGCTAAAACAACCAAGCATGAAAGGGTTAACAGCGCTTGCGTGTTTTTGCTCCAGACGCTGGAGAATTAAAGCTGCAGGAAAACAGAGATTAGGTGTTAGTTGGAGGGCACACTTTGCCCGGAGGCAGCCCACACACCCCATCAAGAGCTAAGTTCTTGCCAAAGTCCAAAAACCAACCACCTCCATACCAATGCACCCCCAGCCAACCATTTCAGACATTATGTTTCTTGCTGTTTAAGCGACCTAGCTGTGATGGTAGGCCCGTTTATGCTTCCTCTTCCCTCCCTGTCCCTTCTTCCTTTTGTGCCATGCCTTTTAGGCTTTAAGCCTGTGGGCAGCGACAGCCTCGATTCAAGCGTTTGTGAGCTGCTCTGAGAGCCCTTTCTGAGGGGCCGAGGATCAGGATTTGGGGAGCTGCGGTATGTCAAGGGGACGCGGGTGGCACTGTGGGTTAAACCACAGAGCCTAGGAGTTGCCGATCAGAAGGTCGGTGGTTCAAATCCCTGTGACGGGGTGAGCTCCCGTTGCGCGGTCCCTGCTCCTGCCAACCTAGCAGTTCGAAAGCAGGTCAAAGTGCAAGTAGATAAATAGGTACCGCTCCGGCGGGAAGGTAAACGGCGTTTCCGTGCACTGCTCTGGTTCGCTAGAAGCAGCTTAGTCATGCTGGCCACATGACCCGGAAGCTGTATGCCGGCTCCCTCGGCCAATAAAGCGAGATGAGCGCCACAACCCCAGAGTCGGTCACAACTGGACCTAATGGTCAGGGGTCCTTTACCTTTACCTCCTATTCCCCTCCCAGAGCTATAATCCTTAGAATTCCCTGCAAAGAGGGAATGGCTTACGAAACCTGTCTAGGAATTGCAGTTCTGTGAGGGGAACCGGAGTCCCCTTATCAATTCTCTGCACCTTTAGCAAACTACAGCTCCCAGAATGCTTTGGGGGAAGCCATGGCTATCTAAAGCGGTATTGCGGTGTTTTAAATGGATGGTGTGAAGCTGGCCTGAAGCTGTTGTGGAGAAGGGAAGAGAAGGGAAGTACTTTAGGGAGGTGCATGATAAATATTTTGGAGGTAATGGGGAGGAATTGGCTTGCTCAGCCATCTCTGAGGCACCTGTCCCCCTTTCAAGAGTCACCGGCCTCACCGTTGACCCACCAAACACACCCACCCAGCCTCCAATTTATTATCTTCCTTGTTAGCGAGACTGACAGAGAGGGAGAGAGACAGACACGACAAGAGAGACGCAGTTTAGTTCCACAAGGCCTCACAGAGTGGCGGATTCAAGGAGATGCACAGCGGGGTCCTGATGGGAGGCAAGGTTACCATGGTAACCCGGCCCTGCAGCTAGAGGCTTCTGCTTGATGTTTCTCCAGGAGGAACCTTGAGACGGGATGGGAAAAGGGAGAAATTTGCATCATTAACAGAGGAGGAGGAATAGGCAGGCGGAGGAAGCGGACAGAGAAGCCCAAACACACAGGAGATACAGAGGAGCAGCTTACATATATGGCTTCCTTTGCACGCCTTAGAGATTTGGCTGCTGTTCCTCATTGGGGTGAGGAGACATGACCATCAGCCCCTCTGGCAGTGGACTGAGGCGGCTGAGGGCCAATCATTTTGGAAGCAAAACGAAGCCACTTGAAAAACAAGGTGACGGCGTCTGCATATACTGAAGATGTTCTAGGACAGGCATCCCCAACCTTCAGCCCTCCAGATGTTTTGGACTACAATTCCCATCTTCCCTGACCACTGGTCCTGTTAGCTAGGGATCATGGGAGTTGTAGGACAAAACATCTGGAGGGCCGCAGGTTGGGGATGCCTGTTCTAGGACATGGCTGGGCAGAGTATTTTGTGTGTGTGTGAGAGAGAGAAAGTGAGAGAGAAAGAGAGGGAGACAGAAAGAGAGAGAGAGAGAGAGAGAGAGAGAGAGAATCACACTAAATAAACTAAAAACAGCTAAAATTAACAAGGCAGCAGTGGAATTTCTGTAAAATAAAACAACAGTTAAATTCAGTTACAACTGAAGTCAACAGAACTCAGAGGTTTAGTTTAGATCCTTCAAAATGACAATAATAATATATATATTTAAAATCCTGTTCTAAACCACAGGTGTAGGCATAACCTGTAGAAACAGAACAATGCCTAAACCTTAAACAGTAAGTCTGCAACTTATGTGCATTTAACTTGTGTGCATTCAGCTTCACAAGCATTTAAATGTAAAAGGGTGCAGAAAGGGGCTGAGGTTCTGGGGGAAATGATTTTGGCAAGCCCACCCACCCTTGAACCCAATGGGTTTTGATTATACCAGCAATCATGCTATAGCATTCTGTACTAGCTGCAGCTTTTGGATCGAGTGCCTGGGCAGCTCCACAAAGAGCGCATTGCGCCAATCCAATATTGAACGCACCAATGCGTGAACTCCTGTGGCCAAGTTTTTACCTGGTGATTCTTCTGGGCTCCATAAAGCTTGGGGAGTCACGCCTTCTCTTTCGGATGGGGGAGTAGCTCCGGGAGCGACGCCGGGCACGCGTGGGTTCTGTGTCACTGTGGCGGGCGCGCGGCTCATTGTCCTTCTCTCTGGATGAAAAAACAACAACAACCACAGCAGCCCTGTGGCCTCATTTCCACACACACTGTGAGTCTCTGAAGCGCAACTGGGAATCTGGGTCTAGGGAACTACAGTTGGCCGTGCGAACCAGCTGCAGCGCCCCCTTCAGGCATCAGAAGACAATGACGGCTTGTGATACCGGCCTCTGGGATTGAAAGGCAGCAAACCCCCATCTTGCAAACACTGAGGGACATAGGAATCTGCCTTATATGGAATCAAACCATTAGTCCATCTAGCTCAACATTCATAGGTTGTCCAGGGTTGTGGGACAAGGGGGTGGGATCAAGACACTTTGTGCTGATTGGAGCCAATCAGGGTGAAAGGAGGTGAGTCAGTCACTGGGGACGGGCTCCTAGGGTCACTCTGTGTCAGGGAATGGCTGGGTGACAAAGAGCGGTGGGAGGCACCAGCCCTAGAACCTCCCAGGGATGACACAGAGAAATAAGACTTTAGACCCAGGGCAGTGGCAGTGTGTCAAGGAGCTGTCAGGCAAGCACAGGTCATCCACAGGGCAGGAAGAATGTGAGACCAGGGAAGGAGGTGCAATTAGCTTTTATTCACAGAAAGTGACATCACAGCAGAATTCCTGTGGCTTGACTCATTCAGCTTGGGACGGTGCTGAAACTGACCACGGGCCCTGCCCTTCCCCTCTAGCCTGTCACTCTGGATCCCTCCCAAGCAGACAAGGGCTGCAGAAATGGGGTGGGCTCCTCCTCTGGGCTTGTCTGGCCCAGTGCTCAGCAACATGCAGGACTCTCCTCGATCAGGTCCTCAGAGCAGGAGGAGAGCCAGCAGTACTGGGACTTCCCTGGTGCTGTGTAGCAGGGGCAATCTCTGACTCCTCTCTGTCCGAGTCTGCACTCCCACTGCAATTCTCAGCCTCCATCCCTGTCCTGGAAGGGTCTCTTTCTTTTGATCCCCTGCCTTGATCCGCCCAAACCCCCTGCTTCTAGCACCTCCCACCTTGTCCCTTACCCAGGCTGCTATCCAGTGTCCCACCACCATGATCTGGGGTCCAAGTCGCCATCTTCTGTGCTGCCGCTGCCCCCAGTGTCAGAACTGGGGATTACAAGCACCTTACCTGCTGCTTGTTATTTTTTTCTGGGATCCAGACCGGGTCCTGCTGCGTGCAGATCTCTTCTCCCGGGATCGGGACCGAGATTTCGACGGGGACCGGCTGGAGCTCCAGGAGCTGCTCCGAGACAGGCTCTTCCTTCGCTCCGACTTGTGCCTGGAGTGTTTGGCTGGGGCTGGAGAGCAACTGCCCAGCCTACCGCGGTGGTGCCTCTCCTTTGCTCTGAAACATGCAGTGGGCAGAGATTAGCAGGGCCAATCAAAGCGCAGAGGGAGAAGCAGCGGGGGGGGCATTTGGTGTGGGCGTCAGGTTCAGACAATGGTTAATTCGGGGGGATTTGATTTCACCCTGCCAACAAAGGTCCGTATAGTTATAGCTATGGTTTTCCCAGTAGTGATGTATGGAAGTGAGAGCTGGACCATAAAGAAGGCTGATTGCTGAAGAATTGATGCCTTTGAATTATGGTGCTGGAGGAGACTCTTGAGAGTCCCATGGACTGCAAGAAGATCAAACCTCTCCATTCTTAAGGAAATCAGCCCTGAGTGCTCACTGGAAGGACAGATCCTGAAGCTGAGGCTCCAATACTTTGGCCACCTCATGAGAAGAGAAGACTCCCTGGAAAAGACCCTGATGCTGGGAAAGATGGAGGGCACAAGGAGAAGGGGACGACAGAGGTGAGATGGTTGGACAGTGTTCTCGAAGCTACCAGCATGACTTTGACCAAACTGCGGGAGGCAGTGGAAGACAGGAATGCCTGGCGTGCTCTGTATCATGGGGTCACGAAGAGTCGGACACGACTAAACAGCAGCACAGCAGCAGGTTGTTTTTCTGCGCATTGGACCAAACTTGGGCCCTGTTGGAGGGTATGGTATATGAGCCACTCACAAGCATGCACCCCATTCTGGTTCTTACGTTTTTAGGTGCACCCCATGGTTCTTTTCTGTCCCGGCCATGGTGTGGTAAGGGTGCGAGCAGGTGGACCCCTCTGAGTCACTGCTGTAGCCTGTGTGGCTGACAGATCGCGGGGACTCCTTGGCGGCTGAGAGCTTGGCCCTGCCACGCCCTTTGTGCTTGTGGGTCGACGTGGACCTCGCATGGCGCCTGTGGAAGCGCTTATCTCCACCCGAGCATCTCCCCGGAGGTGAGGCGGACCGGCGTGAGGCCTTGACACCATATTTGCTGCTGCACCGGCCTTCCTTGGAGTGGGGCGATGGGGCTTCGGACTTGACATGGGCCCTCGTGGAAGGAGACGTGGAATCCAGCCTCTAGCAGAATGAAAGACGCGGAGGGACGGGGAGAGATACAGAGAGAGGGAGGGTGGGGCGGGGTGGGGCGAAAAGAGAGAAAGAAGGAAAGGAGAGGGTTTTTTAAAAAAACAAAGAGAGACCCCTCACCAGCAGGAAAAAGCTGCAATTTCACAACAGCGATGCACAATGATTTGAATAAAGGCAGGCTACACAGATACTACTCTGCACCTCTCTCCCCTGTTCAACCTCTCGACCTTAAACGATGCAGCTCATGCAAAATCTCTGGCATGCAAAAACAGGAAATAAACCAAAATGAAAAAATGAGACAGGGAAGGAGAGGCGGAGAGTTTCAAACGGGGCGGGAGGGAGAGGGTCACCTTGGAAAAATGAAAAGTATATAATATGTGCATGTGTGTGTATGTGTATGTGTGTGTTCTTTTAAAAGAAAAGAAAGAAGACCCCAAATTATATTTTGTTGGAAAAAAACAAAGAGAGAGAAAGAGAGAAAGAAAAGGGAGGGTGCTCATATCGGTGGAAGAGGGGGTACATTATGGGATGGTGGGGGGAAAAGGATAAGAAGCCAGGGATCGGGTGGGGTGGGGTTTGGATAGAAATGGATTTCTTTGTGGGGAGCTTGATCAAGGCATGTAGAAGAGAAGAGAGAGCTATGTGTAGGTGATGGGGATTGGAACAGGGGCTGGGTTGGGGATGGAGAAAATAAAATCTTAAACCAAAAGAAAACTCCACAAATGTCATCAGTACTGAAAAAAAAGGATATTAAAAAAAAGTTTCTGAACTCTTCCTGGGTTTTGAAAATTTGTGCAGAGTCTCCACCAGCGTTCTATTCTCTTTCCTTTTTTATTTTATGTTTTTATTTATTTTCGTTAAATTTCCACTTTTTTTTTTTTAAGTCCGTCCTGGTTAACGTCCACTTACCAAGAAAGTGGTATTTCCTCCTTTAGTAGGTAAGGTATGAAGAGAAGGGAAAAGTTGGGCAATATAAGTGAATCATTAGATTGACAAAAAATGCAAGAGAGATCGAGAGAGAGAGAGAGGAAGAGAGAAAGAAAGAAAGAACGAGAGAGAGAGAGATAGAAAGGAGAGGAATAAAAAACCAAACCACCCTGGTCTCCTAAGCTCTTGCAACACACAGCCATGAGGCGGACCCTGTGTGCAGTCCCCTCTTTGGTTTTTAGAACAAACGGAATGCCATTTGGATTTCCCTAAAATTAGTGGAAATGACAGGGTGGGTTTTCTTTTAAGACGGACATCCTCTCAAGGCTGCGGGAGCCCAATGACGTACGTAGGTTTGCCAACCCGTTGGAGTTTAGCTTGCCCCTCCTGCGACTAGTGTTTTCCCACCAGTAGTGGGTTCTCGAAAGCAGCCATCTTTGCCCAGGCACCAACCACAACCCTTAACCCTCTGATTGTGGCCTGTTTCTGCCCCTTACCCCAGAGATTCTAATCTGGTTCCATCCTCATCCTGAGTATGCTGTCCTGAATCTGCTTCTAACTGATCAGATTCTTCTAGATCAGTGTTGAGGCCCTCCCGATGGTGTTGGACTACAACACCCATTGTCCATGGCTACTGTTGGGCATGGGAGTCCAACAGATTCCCTCCCCACCTCTCCTCATTTAGTTCTGTCCAGGATCTGTCTGCTCCATCTCTCTCAGACCCACACAAAGGCCCAGTTTTACAGAAATTAAATTTAGTACAGTGGGAAGATTGTGCGGGGAATCAAGCCATGTCCTTCCTGTGGACTTTCCCCAAAAGTCCATGATGGGAATTGTTCCCGTATTTGGTGATAAGCAGGAAGCTGCCCTATGCCCAGCCAGGCTGTGATGGGTCCTTGTACTTCAATATTGTCAAGTTAGCTGTTCTCCAAGCTTTCTGGAGAAGAGGCATCTTTGTCCTCACCTCTGACTTAATCCTGTTGCTCACTGGAGATGCTGCCAGGGACTGGACTCACACCTCCTTCTGCAGGCCCTGGACTTCTGAGCTATGCCTTTCCTGCAAGGGGCACACAGTTATGTAGGACAGCCCCATAAGAGAATCATTCAACATGGAATTGTTATTATACAGAAGGAGGCTGAAACAATTCTGTTGGCGGAGGCAGAACACTGTACTACAACTCCCAGGATTCCTTGAGAAGGCCAAATGACTGCCCCAGTTCAAATCTCCCTTGGAGAGATGCCCATCTGCAAAGCAGGTGAACATTTGGGCAACAGGCGGCTTTGAAAAGGCAACAGAGGGTGTATCTGTTGTGCAACCTCTGGGCTGAGTGAGAGCTGGGGACTTTAGCTGAGCCTTCTCCATCTTCTGCTACCCTCCTGGTGTGGCTGATGGGAGGAAGAGTCCAACAACATCTGGAGGGCCACTGATCCATTGCTTCGCTTCCCTCCACCTGCTACCCTCCAAATATTCTACTCGCTTCATCCTTGACCATTGCCAGCTGAGGCTGATAGTAGCCCAGAACATCTGGAGGGCTCCTGATTGCAGAAGGCTGCCTTAGACACAGAGAAAAGGAAGCAACCAAAGACACCCAAAATCAGCAGCTGGGCTGGCATCTTAAACGTCCCACATCAAAAAAACTATGGGGATCAAATGTAGTGGGAAAAAATGTTTTCCCCCCACTCCCTCCAAAAATGGTAATAGGTGTTTGAGTAAGACAGGCTTCCTAGCCTGTAAAACATTTACTTCTCTTAGCTGGGTGGGTACATGGGTGCATGTGCCTAATAATGGTCAGTCCCTTTATACTCTGGCCTGATCTATTTGCCTGAAGAAGAAGAAACTCTGAAAACTCTGGGTCTGCTAGTTCTCACGAAACCCTATTTTAGAAAAAGGAAGTGAGCTGAGAGGAAGTGGGGTCTGCAACAAAATGTTGCAGTGCGGGGTGTGCTCCTGTTCAGTGTTCAACCCATCTATCCAGCCCTGCCTACTTTCAGAACACTCTAAGGACTCATAGAACAGGGTGGGGTTTGCTTCCTTAGGTCTCCCTGACCAGTATATATTGATCTACTTTCGCAAAACTTTCCCAACTACTCTAATTCCACCCCACCAAAAAACCCACAAAAATCCCACCCTGTTCTATGGCATTCAAGGTCCGTATTAAAATACAATGAAAAAGAGGAAGGGTTCCTTCCTACACAGGGTTTGAGCTTGTTCTGAGCTTTCAGGGCTAGCACAGGAGAGGGTTAGCTCTTAGCTCTCTCCCCTATGCTGACATTTAAACCAACCCACTTTTTTTCTTGTTCACTACTCTCAGTTCATTCCGCTCTTGCTTTCAGTAAGAAAGAGTGACTCAGAAGGGAACTGGCAATATGAATGTGAGAAAAGCCTCCTGGATCAGGCCTGTGGCCTGTCTAGTCCAGCATCCTGTTCTCACAGTGGCCAACCAGCTTCCCCAAAGGGAAACTTGTATTCAGGGTTCAAAACGTCCTCACTGTCAAATTTTGTGGGTGCAGTTTCATTTTCTTTAAGGGGTGGTGGTGTGGGATGGGGGGCAGCCCTCTCTTTCTCCCCTTTCCTATTTGATCAAAATAAATACCACCAAACACCCTCCAACTTCTCGCAGGTGAAAACAGCAGGGTCAGCCTCGGATTTTGTAAAACCCCACCCCTGGTTCTCACAAAGAGCATCACTTCCTGAGATTCTCTCCAGCACCAAAGACTTCCCCCTGCCTGGTACACAATTTTAGACATGTGTGCCTCTTGACATTCTGTATTCACCGAATTTTTGAGTTGGAAGGGACTCTTGAGGGTCACCTAGTCCAAAAACCCTGCAATGCAGTAATCTCAACTAGATCTTTCATGACAGATGGCCATCCAACCTGTGCTTAAAAACCTCCAATGAAGGAGAGTCCGCCACCTTCCGAGGGAGCTCGTTCCACTGTGAAACGGCTCTTACCATTAGAAAGTTCTCCCTGCTGTTTAGTCAGAATCTCCTTTCCTGTCATCTGAAGCCATTGGTTCAAGTCCTACCCTCTGGAAGCAGCTCTGCCTTCCATGTGACAGCCATTCAGGTATTTGAAGACAGCTATCATATCACCTCTTAGTCTCCTCTTCTCCAGGCCAAACATACCCAACTCCCTCAACCGTTCCTCAACATGCTTGGTTTCCAGACCCTTGATCATCTTGGTCACCCTCTTCTGCCCACCTTCCAGCTTATCAATATTAGGGTTGCCATAGGTCTGGAAATTCCCAAACATAGCTGGAAATAGGCCGTTGGAAACTTTGGCTCAACAACTTTGGACAAAAAATGCTCAACAACCTTTCTGTGTGGATTTTCACTTTTTGAAATATGGCAACCCTAATCCTTCTTCAATTGTGGTGTCCAGAAGTGGACATAGTCCTCTAGGTGGTGTCTGACAATGGCAGAATAGTGTGGTCTATTACTTCCCTTGATCTGGACACTATTCTTCTGTTGACCTGGCTTAGAATAGCATTAAATATTTTTTGCTGCTACATCACACTGTTGATTCTGCTTCTGGGCAGAGAAACTGAGGGGATGGTGATGAATTTCTCCAGGGGGAAGAGAAATTATCCAACTATTTCTTGGGTATGAGGGTCACCATTAGCAGGAACACAACTCCTCTCCCCTCAAAGCTTTTGTCACTGCAAGCGATGACAGCAGCAACTGCATGGATAGCCTAGCAATCATCTTGCATCCTCCACAATGCCCCAGAGACCTGGCATAGTTCTGGTGTGTGTGTGTGTGTGTGTGTGTGTGTGTGTGTGTGTGTATGTATGTGTGTTTGAGAGAGAGAGAGAGAAATGGTGACTACCACTCACATGCACACAAAATGGTGCGTAATATTTGGAGAAAATTCTGCAAGTGACCTTCTTTGTCTAAGCAGGTGTGAAAAATAAAAATCTCTCAGGAAAAAATGTACTGTCAGCTCTGATCTCTTTCCTTTCTTTTTGAAAAGACGTAGCCATATTTAACCTCACGGTGGGTCTGGTTATACACACGGTTGCTATTCATTCATCAACATTTAAGACAGGAAGTCATAGCTGGG